CTTGAAAACAAGAGAAATCTCAATGTATCTTTCCTGGTAAAATATTTTATAAATAAATACCTATTCAGCATAGCAGTCAGGCCCCGCCCCCCAAGGTAAAGTCATGTCCCTTTACCTTATAAAACAATAGTGGAGCGCTACAAATAAAATCACATGCAATACGTTTTCTTTCCCCTAACAAAATGTAGTGGAAGCTTCAACAGTAAGACATGTAAAAGAAAAAATACAAGCATATGTTACTGAAAAAAGTGCAATGTGCAAAATAGATTTGTGGATAAACTCACATTTATGAGAGCCCAAATGATGTGTTTTAATAATTGCACAGATCACTAAACAATCAATTGTGATATTCCAGACACCATCAAACTTCAAGGTCCACTATAGTGCCAGGAAAGCAAAGTTGTTATCCTGGCACTATAGCTCCGTATAATGCTCCTCTCCCTTAGCATCCCTCCCCCAAATCCCTTCTGTCACTTACCTGATTCCAGCATTGACTTCCCTCATTGCTGGTTCAGGCTCTGCCTCCGCTCCTCCCCTGCCAACATCAGCTGGAAGCGCTCGCATTAGGACTCACCCATAGGAAAGCATTATACATGCATAGAGTGGGGATGTCCAGCGTCAGTTAGGCAACCAAAAGTCACCTAACAACCCGGGGTAGTGGACAAAACGCGTTTTAGCCGATTTAATTTGATTTAGGTAAGCTAATTCTGTGTAGTGCATTGTTTCTATTCTATAACCTTGTTAATTGTGATTCAACATTTTGGTCAAAGTACTTTTGGAGCATTGACCCCAGTATCCTGACTCTAAGCACATCACTGGGGAGTGTCACTCCATACAGTGACACTAAGTCATCCAACCTAAAAGCCCGGGACTTTTAGGCTTTTATTCAGGTGAGCTGATTATTATATTTTTCACCCTGTTCCACCTTTAAGGCATGATGTTATCTCCATTTTTTCTTTGAGATTGGGATATCTCTTGTAAAGCAAAGTAAAGGTGCGGGTGCTATCTTTAAAGGCACAACCGCACGATAAATGAGCCCTAAATTACAGCTCTGTTCCACATAAATTGATCTTCTAAATACTTCTTCATATTTACCAGTGTTTTTACCATCTACCATCCGTGGCTGTTTGAGCTGCTATTTATTGTTGTATCGTATATTTTACGCACTTTTACACACTACATCTGTTTTTATTTTAATTGCTTTATTCACTACACTACTGTAACGGATCGCCTGGCACCCCGACTGGGTACCTCCGTTGAAGGATGCTCCTAGCGCTTCCTGAGGACTCCAAGCACTGCAGTAGACACCACAACCACCGAACCGGAGAAGCATATGAATCCTCTCAAGCATATGAATGCTGTAGACAGTTGAATAGGAACCATACGAATAGGTTTACTCTCCTAGCAGTCAAACTGGAACAGCATACAATAAATCCTTCCCCCAATAATGAGACGACACTTCACTTTGAGGGTTAAAACAGGAACTCCCTGTACTGTCACAGACAGTCTCTTTTATTCCCAATCCACAAACATAGTACAGCCCACAGGGCGTTACAAAACAACCAATCACATCACAGTTACATCCCACATATTCCCTCCCCTTATCCTGAGAGGAAACTCAATTACACATACAGTTAAAACATACTTTCTACCCAACTTTCATAACTCCAAAACCATACATCACATTTACATAAAAATTACATATTTGGAATCAATCCATTCAGGGGAGCAACATATTAAAAAATGGCACAAATCAGACAAGGGTTCAAAAGTTAGTAAAAAGTCCTTTGTGACTAAATGAAGCATGGCTTTCTGGCCCAAACCAGTTTCAGAGTCTTCTATCCTGGAGAGTAATTCAATTATCTCCCAGGACAGACACAAGACTCCATTAAGCACATGGTTGCAAAAGACACAAAACACTTTAAAATACATAAAGTCACATTTTACACATAGCACACAGACATTTCACATATCCCCAGATTAGCTGGGATCTGAGTGCACATTATTAGATGAATGGCACTCAGATCACACAAATAAGCCTTTCTGCAGGGGAAATAAACGGTTTAACCTGCAGGGCCATAGTCCAAAGGGAGCAGGCGAGCAACCAGGCTTCTCCAGTTCACAGTGGCGAGGTTGGTTTCGCCACACTTCTCCCCTTTACCAACTAGACTAACAGGGTATCTGACCTCCTGCCGGTCAGTGCCCTGGTTAGTCCAGCAACCCACCCACAAAACAGAAACAGCAGTACAGCCCACCCACAATAACTGGTTACTACACCTGGGTAGAGGAGAACTTTGTCCATGTCCAGGTGCCTCACCACGACTGTGTGGGCAACTGTTAGGTTGCCTTGGTGGGTTGCTGAGTGGGCAGAGACCAGCGGTACTCTGCCCTGATGCCAGTGCTACCACGGAAGTAGCCTGGTGGGAGCCTGGTTGTGGGAGGGAGAGACCGACTGTCTCCCCTCTGGATACACCGCTCTGTGGCTGGGGAACAGGACCGACTGTCCCTACCCTTGTGCTGTAAGTGCAGAGACTACAGTCCCATCTGCACTGTTGGGGGGTGTAACATCTCCCCTTGCTGGGTTAGGCTGCCGCTGGAGAGAGGGTGTAACAAGCTCCTCTCTCTGAACTGTAAACTGCCGCTGGGGAGAGGGGGTATCAGGCTCCTCTCCCCTGACACTCTCTCTGCTGGTGGAGAGGGGGACCAGCTGTCTCCCCTTTCATTATTTTGTCCTGTGGCTGGGGTGCAAGACTGACGGTCCCTGCTCCCTGCAGGACACTCTGCCGCTGGGGAGGAAGGACAACACCTTCAGCTCCCTGGGGCACACACTGCCGCTGGGGAGGAAGGACTGCACCTTCAGCTCCCTGGGGTACACACTGCCGCTGGGGAGGAAGGACTGCACCTTCAGCTCCCTGGGATACACACTGCCGCTGGGGAGGAAGGACTGCACCTTCAGCTCCCTGGGACACACACTGCCGCTGGGGAGGAAGGACGGCACCTTCAGCTCCCTGGGATACACACTGCCGCTGGGGAGGAAGGACGCACCTTTGCTCCCTGGGGTACACACTGCCGCTGGGGAGGAAGGACGACACCTTCAGCTCCCTGGGGTACACACTGCCGCTGGGGAGGGCTGGACGACACCTCTCAGCTCCCCTGGGACTCCTTGGCCACAAATTCCAATAGAGAGATTGCAGGTATTCTCCTACTAGTTTCCCTGGCTGCTTGCACGCTCTCCCCTGGGGGTTGGGTCCAAAGGTAGACATTGGAAAGTAACCTCATTAACCTCTCTGTCAAACTCCTCCTGAGTGGTCATACCATGCTTGCTCTGCTGAAGTTAGTTCTTTGTAGATAGGGCCAAAATGGTACTCAGGGTTGCCCCCACCTGTAAACTACCTAACTGTGTTCCTGAGCTGCTTTACTCCTCGCACTAGGGACGCCATCCCACCGCTTGCCACCACTGTAACGGATCTCCCTGTACTCCGACCGAGTACCCTCCGTTGATGGATGCTCCTAGCTCTTCCTGAGGACTCCAAGCACTCTGGCAGACACCACAATCACCAAACCGGAGAAACAAATAAATTCTCCCAAGCATATGAATGCTGTAGACAGTTGAATAGGAACCATACGAATAGGTTTACTCCCCTAGCAGTCAAACTGGAACAGCATACAATAAATCCTTCCCCCAATAATGAGACGACACTTCACTTTGAGGGTTAAAACAGGAACTCCCTGTACTGTCACATACAGTCTCTTTTATTCCAATCCACAAACATAGTACAGCCCACAGGGCGTTACAAAACAACCAATCACATCACAGTTACATCCCACATATTCTCTCCCCTTATCCTGAGAGGAAACTCAATTATACATACAGTTAAAACATACTTTCTACCCAACTTTCATAACTCCAAAACCATACATCACATTCACATAAAATTACATATTCACAATCAATTCATTCAGGGGAACAACATATTCAAAAATGGCACAAATCAGACAAGGGGTTCAAAAGTTAGTAAAAAGTCCTTTGTGACTAAATGAAGCATGGCTTTCTGGCCCAAACCAGTTTCAGAGTCTTCTATCCTAGAGATAAGTAATTCAATTATCTCCCAGGACAGACACAAGACTCCATTAAGCACATGGTTGCAAAAGACACAAAACACTTTAAAATACATAAAGTCACATTTACACATAACACACAGACATTTCACATATCCCCAGATAGCTGGGATCTGAGTGCACATTATTAGATGAATGGCACTCTGATCACACAAATAAGCCTTTCTGCAGGGGAAATAAACGGTTTAACCTGCAGGGCCATAGTCCAAAGGGAGCAGGCGAGCAACCAGGCTTCTCCAGTTCACAGTGGCGAGGTTGGTTTCGCCACAGAGTGGTACAGTATGTCTGCTCAGGGAGTTGAGAAGT